TCTAAAATGGGGCAGGAGCACACAAATAGTTTACTTTTTCCTTCTTCCAGTTTCACCAGTATGCTCACACTTGGCTGACCAGTTAGGCCTACCCTCCCTCTGTGGCATATGAATAGTTGACCAAGTTTTAAAATTATAATTTAGATTGTCCAAGAGAAAGAATGCAAATATTTGAGAGGATACCAATAAGTTGGTATTGTAATACTCTGTGCATGTGTGTATGTGCCTGTGTGTGCCTGTGTGTGTGTGTGTGTGTGTGTGTGTGTGTGTGTGTGTGTTGTCTGGTCATGTGGGTCTTCCCCCGAGAGATAAAGCATGTGCACTGTTTGCATCTTCCATGTCTTGGCTTACCTGCTTGCAATGATTTCAACCAGATAATAGCCTACCTGGATGTCTCTGGGCAACCTCCCTAAAGAAGAAGATCAGTCAACCTCACTAACCATCTCATTTGCAGGACCACGGTCATGGTGAAGCCAGTTGCTCCCACGGAAGCCATTCCAGCAGTTTTGGAACGTTCTGATCCCTTCTTATCTCCAAGGACTGATCTGCTTCTTATCGCTAAGCTTCAGTAAACTGCATCTCACTGTGGGGGCCTAGCGGGGATTACTATCTGTCATAGAGCTTTTATCTTCCCACCTTCCCAGACACAGAGAGGAGAGCTCAAAATGTGACAGAATTACGAACCAAGAGGAAAGGATCCCCAAGGGGTGAGTCCCTGTCTCCAAGCAGTAAGAACATCCTACGCAAAATGCAAAACACAAATCTCAGGCTTCCCTGAAATTTCTCCTTCTTTTTCCTGGCTGAAAATATGAAAATGATAGATAAAGTATCTGCTAACTGCCAGGTCTGACCATCAGAGAAAATCGAATGGGAAAAGAAAATGAAAATCTAATCATGAAATACAGCCACAGGAGACACACACACACACACACACACGTTCATGCATGCACACAGATGTACATGCACACATAAAAACACACATGCATGCACACACTCACCTACATGGGCGGGGGAGAGGAAAAAACAGGTTGCCACCCTTCCTGAGTCTTCTGAAACAGACACATGGTTGTTTTGGGGTCCAGTTCTAGACAACACAGGAATTCCTGGAAGTTCAGCTAACGAGAGAACAATTTTATTTCCCTGGGGTCATCTAACCCTGGCTCTACTTCTAGGCACGTGTGTATATACGGAGAGCCACAAATAATCCTGCTGACCTGTGGAAGAACCGTTTGCTCAGCTGACCAGCCCTCCAGTTTATTTTCCCAGGTCTGATTGCTTTTCCAGTCACCCTGGAGAAAAACAGAATAACTGGCACGATAAAACAGAAGACTTTTTACTGGACAGTGCCAACTGGCCCAAATCACCTCCAAAAACCTTTTCTTAATGTGCATCCTTTAACAAAATTTTAACACCTTTTCAGTTCCCTAAGCATAAATCCTCCAGGTTCCCTAAGCTGGCTTATGAACAGGATGGACCATATACTTTAATAGCCCAAACAAGTACATGTTTGAGAAGAAAGATGGTGCTACAAATTATGCCGTGACAACATCCATAAGCCAGAGCTCTGGAAAGACCAGGCTGCAGGCTGCTCCCTGAGGGCCAGCTTAGGCTGAGATCCCTACTCCTCACGCCATGATTTCCTGGCCCTCTCCTCTAGCCCCACATTCATTCTTCGGATAGTCTCCTGACCCTCCAGCCTCCACAGAGCGCTCATCACACCTGCAGGGTCTCCTTGCGTGGCTTCTGCTTCCATCTCTGTAGATGGAACGTGTGCAACGCTGTACCCAGTGAATAAACACAAGGCCTGGTTCACTCGCGGCCAGGCAAGCCCTCAGACAGCTGTGCTGGTCAGGTGTGAGGAGAGGCATTGGGTTCATCAGCTTCAGCAGCGCTTTCTGATGCTCTCCTGAAGGCTTCTTTCTGCCTCTCTAATGCTGCAGTGAGCAAACCCTCCGTCCTGAGTGCGCCCCAGGATCCTGGAGGCCTCTGACCTAGGTCTGCCACACGGGGCTAATGTTAGTTCCCTCAGTGCTCAGAGAGTGCTGTCTGTAATGCAGTTATCCAGGTAAGGCACACAGGGACAGCGAGTCGAGTGAGGAGGGTACTGGATACACAATACACACTCACGCAAGGACCAGGCCCCAAACCCTCCTCAGAAACCTCGGGCTCAGATACAGCAGACTTCAGAATTCTTTCTCTGAAAGGTGCAGTGTTATGTAATGCTGCCCAGGGCCAGGCTGGCATAACACACTAACATTTCTTCAGTAAGAATGTGTGAATGCTCACACCTAGGGATTAAATAAAGCTTGAAAGCATCCCACATCCCTCTGGGTCAGGCTCTCCAAGCCCTTTACCTCAAATCAGGTGAAAAATCTACCAGCGTGAAGAAGAAACTTGGGCTTTAGAGAGCCTCTGGATTTTAAAATTGCAGAAAAGTGATCTTCCGTAGATTTATAACAGTGGACATTTCATAAGCACGATGTTCCAGGCACGGCTCCACGGCCACAGTCCACCACGCAGAGCGCAATGCATACCCTGGGTCTGCCACGCTCATACACGCTCCTGTGACATAGTTAACGTGAGATATCCCAATCCTCAAAACAACTCCACAAGGCCTCACTGTTGTCTCTCTGTAAGGAAACGAGGCACAGCGTGTTCAATGACCACACGGAGAGGAGACACAGAGCTTAAAGCCAGTTCCTGAGTAGATGAAGTGTGAAGTCGCGTGCTACCCGGAGACGGGACGGTAGGTGCAGCTGGACACACATGCCTGCTGAGGTGGCCTGCTCGACTCCTGCGGAACTGCCTGTCTCGGTGCCCCCTTCCCAGCACTGCGTGTGCACAGCCTCAGTGTTGACTGAATGCTAAGGTGTGGACTTCCTTCCCAGTCACAGGGAGCCAGGAGAGGGCCAGGTTCAGACCAAGATCACGGCCACAACCTCTGGGGAGCTGGGACCAGGAACTCAGTCATTCTCTTCCAGGGTGCCTGGACTGTGAACGTGGTCCAGGGGAGATCACAGGACAGCCACACGGAGCCTATGTGTTGAGACACAGCCAGGTAGCCTGATGTCTGAGTTTTCTCTTTAACACATGCCGGAACATCCTGCAGCTAACACGATGCAGTACCACAGCATGAGATATTGGGTAGTTACAATCTAACCAGTGGTCACTGTGTACCTGCTGTTGGCTGGGCACTCTAGTAAACGGATACCAGTCCGGGCAGACACCAGTCACTTCCTTCCAGCACACACAGCTGCAGTAAGGCACAGACTCGAAACAGTGAGTGCCGCCACCCAAGGACCAGGAGGGCAGCAGAGAGAGAGTACGGCACACTGGGCCTCAGCCCATTAGTGACTGGGACTGAAGTGGAACGAAAATTTTACGTGAGCTGCTTGAGTTTAAGTCCAACAAGTTTGTATCAAAAAAATACTGAAATACTGTGAAGAGCCCCAATATAAGCACTAAAGATAAGAATGGGGTTTCCACTTTGGAAATCAATCTGGCACTTTCTCAGACAACTCGGAATAGCGCTTCCTCAAGATCCAGCTATCCCACTCCTAGGCATATATCCAAAAGACGTTCAAGTACACAAGGACATTTGCTCAACCATGTTTGGAGCAGCTTTATTCGTAAAATAGCCAGAACCTGGAAACAACCCAGATGTCCCTCAGTTGAGGAATGGATACAGAAATTGTGGTACTTTTACACAATGGAATACTACTCAGCAATTAAAAACAAGGAAATCATGAAATTTGCATGCAAATGGTGGGATCTAGAAAAGATTATCCTGAGTGAGGTATCCCAGAAGCAGAAGGACACACATGGTATATACTCACTTATAAGTGGGTACTAGACCTATAAGATAGGATAAACATACTAAAATCTGCGCACCTAAAGAAGATAAACAAGAAAGAGGACCCAGGGTAGGATGATCAATCCTCACTTAGAAAGACAAAAGGGATGGACATTGGATATAGGAGAAAACAAGTAACAGGACAGGAGCCTATCACAGAGGGCCTCTGAAAGACTCTACTTAGCAATGTATCAAAGCAGATGCTGAGACTCATAATCAAACCTTGGGCAGAGTGCAGGCAATCTTATGAAAGAAGGGGAAGTTAATATGACCTGAAGAGGACAGGAACTCCACAAGAACCAAATATATCTGGGCACAGGGGTCTTTTATGAGACTGTTTCTCTAACCAAGGACCATGCATGGATATAATCTAGAAGCCCTGCTCGGATGTAACCCATGGTAGCTCAGTATCCAAGTGGGTTTCCCTATTAAGGGGAACAGGGACTATTTCTGACATGAACTCAATGCTGGTTCTTTGACCTTCCCCTTCTCCCCAAAGAAGGAACAGCCTTGCTAGGCCACAGAGGAGGACATTGCAGCCAGTCCTGAAGAAACCTGATAAGCTAGGGTCAGATGGAAGGGGAGGAGGTCCTCCCCTATCAGTGGACTTGGAAAGGGGCAGGGCGGAGATGAGGAAAGGAGGGTGGGACTGGGAGGGAATGAGGGAGCGGGCTACAGCTGGAATACAAAATTAATAAACTGTAACTAATATTAAAAAATAAAAATTTAATTAAAAAATGAAATAATAATAATAAAGAATAATAATAATAAAGTCATTCTTATACACGTTCACCCATGTGAACATGGCCACCCAGGCTCATGATTGTGACTAACAGAAGAGAGACACAATTAGCATACATATATTGTAAGTGTCTGCTTAAACTGCTCAAGAGTGGAAAAATTAATAGAAGAGGGTGTTTTTTCAGAATATGATCCCATCAATATCTTGCCCTCCTGCGCAAAGTCAAGGTTATCCACTGAAGGCTGCCTTTGGCAGAAAGTGCTCTGCAAAAGATCAGCAGCGAGCATTTGAATGTCAGGAATGAAAAGAGCAGTGCTAAGGGGATTTTCGCAGCAGTAAACGGGACAGGTACTCAGTGGTCGTCTGGCAGGAGTGTGGACGACCCAGGAGAGGAGGTTCACTAACCTTTATTCCCTCTTTTCTCATTAACATCGTCTCGATTTTGTTCAGGACACTAATACGTCTTGTTCAATATACTCTTCCCGGCTCCCTTGAAGTCACAGATGGCCACGTATGATGGTTCTGGTGAAAAGAAAAAACCTAGGTAAACATCTGTTTTGTTATTTCTTAATAAAAGAAGGTACAATTGATAAGAAAACCCTTCCCACACCTTTCAACCCAGACCTGATAACTGGGACTTAAGCCACCTGGTATCACCATGACATGCAAGCCAGTGTTGAGTGGCTGTGATGGGACCTGAACGAGCCTGCCTCTACATTTAGCATCCTGCCAGACGGACACATCCCTGCTTGTTTCAGCAACTGTTCTTGGGCTTTTCTGTTATTTGTAACCAAACATTCCTAACAGAGTGTCCAGGACAGAAGGTTGTACTTGAAAGTCTGCACATTAAGCGACATCACCATAGAGATTGAGAATCCTCCAAAATTAGTGATGTGTGTGGGTACCAGGGAGCAACCAGTCTGTCAGACAGTGCCATGAAATATGAAGCATCTTGGGATGCCAAGCCAGGATGGCCGCAGAGGCCGCTGGGTGTTCCAGCTCATGCTCTTCATCTTCTTTTTTTTTTTAAGTCCATAAATTTTATTTTCTACATTTGATTCTTAAATCCCACAAGTTACATGAAAATTTTCAACTTCTATGAAGAATCACATTAAATTTTTTTATTTTTATTTTAACTTTTATTAATTACACTTTATTCACTTTGTATCCCCCCATAAACCCCTCCCTCCTCCCCTCCTAATCCCACCTTCCCTCTCTCTTCTTTACACATGCCCCCTCCCCAAGTCCACTGATAGGGGAGGTCCTCCTCTCCTTCCTTCTGATCTTAGTCTATCAGATCTCATCAGGACTTTCTTCATCTTCTTTTTCACCAGCTGAAACCTGAATTTCTTCCCACGTGGTACCCGCATGTCCTTTCCAGCCTTACAGCATTTCAGACACCTGGGCAAAGACCAGCAGATTTAGGCCCTGCCCACTGGGTAGAGAGCTCAGTTGTTTCCATCTCTACCAAGAGGCAAGAGATTCCCATACTGAACACAGATTGGCATGTCTCTATCTGACTTTAAAGCATGCTTAATGATATTATCAGCATTATAAACAGTAAAACCTTATTATACACATAGACACATACATACATACATACATACATGCTCACATATATACATACATACATGTGTGTATACATACATAGACACTTACTGTGTGATGTGTTATGTGGTGAGTTGTCCCAGGTAGGGTTACTATCGCTGTGTATGCTATGTATGATCAAAAGCAATTTGGGGAGAAAAGGGTTTATTTGTCTTACGTGTCACAGTCCGTTGAGGGAAACCAAGGCAGGAACTCAAACTGGACAGAAACCTGGAGGCAGCAGCTATTGCAGAGGTCACGAAGAATGGTGGCTTGCTGGTTTGCTTGTCATGGCTTGCTCAGCCTGCTTCCCTGTAGAACCTGGGACACCAGCTCAGGGACGGCCCCTTCCATGAGCAGGGTCCTGCAGTTTGCCTACAGCCCAATCTTATGGAGGCAGTCATTTTTGCTTTTGTTTTTGTTTGTTTTTTAATTGAGGTTCCTCCTCTCAGATGTCTACAGTTTGTGTTAAATTGACATAAAAGTATCCAGCACATGGGTATATAAATGTATGTGTGGCTGCATGTGTGTGTGTGTGTGTGTGTGTGTGTGTGTGTGTGTGTTTGTAGAGGTCAGAGGTCAATGTTATATATTTTCTCCAATCACTCTCCATCTTTACTCATTAAAAAAAAAACTTGCCCCTCCTCTGTTGTGTGTGTTTGTGTGTGTGCAGGTGCTCTAACAAAGACAGTATGAAGGTACCAGGAGCTAGCTACAGGTGGTTATGAGAACTCTGATGTGGTGATGGGAAATGAACCCGGGTCCTCCTAACCTCTGAGAGCAGGCTCTCCTAACCTCTGAGCTCTCTCCAGCTCTCCACCTTTAGTTTTTGAGACAGGACTTCTCACCAAACCTGAAGCTCGTGAGTTTGGCTAGGCTGCTTGGCCAATGAGCTTTGGGATCTGCCTGTTTCCAGCTCCAGGGTTGCAGGCTATTATCATTTTTTCAAGAAGCCCAAATGAATAAGAGTCTACATATTACAGTTTAGATCTTGTTGAGAACAGAGCACATTTAGAAACTAGAAATGGTTCATGAAGGTCTAATAAAAAATTACATAGACAGGTGGCCAGGGAGCATTTTGTAGATCACATATCAAAGTGCGTGCGACTTTCTTTCCAACGGCAATGAGGGGCCCCCGAGAGAGTACAAACACGAGGCTGCCATAAGCCAGATCTTTTATTTAGAGAGATCAGAGGGCACTATGGGAAAGCACACTGCAAAGGTGGCACAAGGCCAGTACCGCTGGTTAGAAATGATATAGGCCCGAAGTAAAGCCATGGCAGAAGGTAGATTTGAGAGTCCTTAGGAGGCTTTAGCAAAACGGTTTAGTGACAGGTCATATCTAAATTGTGATGAGCAAGGAGTTAAAGTGACTCCCAGATCTCATAGATGGCTCATGGCACTGCACACTGAAGCAGAAAATGCAAGAGGGGCAGGGGAATGAAGGTGCTGGGGAGGGCTGAGAGATACATGACCTTACACGCTTTGAGATGGTCCCTGGAGGTGACCGCCAGACAATGGGTCAGGCATCGGATCTGAGCAGCAACGATTATGAATGCAACTAGCAACTGGAATCACCACCTTTGCTGAGATCATCCAGGAAACATGCACAAGGTCAAAAGATACATGAGCAGAACCTCAGGGAAGCCCAGAATCAGGAATGGTACAAACAGCCACATCCATGAAAGAGAAAATGAAGTGGCCAGAGGAGCAGGAAGCCAGCCACAAAGGAGGCACTATCACAGTTGTAGTATGAAATGCCTCCATGAGTTGATGTCTACTAAACACTTGTTCCCTCGGCAAGTGCTGCTATCCTGGAGGAGGTTCTGGAGACGCGAAGCAGGTAGGACCTAGCTGGAGCACGGAGGTCACTTTTGAAGGACACATCTCGTCCCCTAGTCTCTTCCTCGTGTTCTGCTTCCTGCCTAAAAGTTCCAAAGCCTTCTCTGCCCTCATTCCCACAGCACCGTTAGCCCCAAATCAACATATCCAAGGTCTGAGGCCCGCAATTTCTGTAGCTATGAGCCAAAACAAATCTTTGGGCTACTTACGTCAGGGATTTGGTGATAACTACATAACAGTAAGTAACACAAGATGGGCGGGGAGCAGGGTGGGAGGCCGAGCCAGAAGCAGGATATGGACGGAAGGCTTACACCCTTGGTGCCAGAGTTCTGCTCTGCTCATGTGCCTGCCGGCATCACTGGCCAAGCAGTGGTTAGGACCTTAAGAGGATTGAGCACATCTCGGGCCTGAGCCCCTAAAAGGCATGGGTGAGCCAGACCTGTGAGCCATGGCGTGTCCATCTGTCCCCGAATTCCAGTTTAGATCTCAGGCAACAGTCTTCACCTCCATCCTGAGGTGGAACCTGTAAGAGGTGGGGCCTACCAGGAAATGTTTGGACCCCAATCTTTCCTCTCTTGTTGCTCCTGGCCACCAAGTGGTGGGCGTCTTCGCACCACCATACTGCCAACACGCTCTCCCACCCTTCCAGAGGCACCCAGTTCATAGGACCAAATGACCATGCAAGAAAACCTCTCAGTCTAAACTTTTCCTCAGTTGATTCTCTCAGTGTTCCGTTGACAGGTCAGGAAGCAGAGTAACACGCCCTTCCAGGAGGATTGGGAAGCAGGAAGAGGAGAGAGAAGTGGAGCAGAGAGACAGGGAAGGCGTCTGCACTGGTGAGTGATTCTTTTCTGCTATGGCTGGTTCTAGTCGGTATGTCTCACTTAGAAATATAAATTCCCAAAATATATCCAACCAGGGGGCGAGGACTACAAAAGGCTGTATTACCTGACAGGATGAAATATGTGCTAAATGGAGATATAAGAGGTGGCTGGGGGAGCTCAGGAGAAGGCGAGATTAATTTTGGCTGGGTTGAAGCACCTCTTTCCAGAAGGCAGGTGGCATCTCAGCTGGCACTTGAAATACAGGGAGGCTTTCATAGGGAGGGAAAGAGTGCACTCTAGCTGAAGGAAGAGAGCCAGCAAACAGAGAAGTAAAGGGAGCGCAAGAGAAGTGGGGGTGCTGTCTGGCTTCTGCCCCCACCCGGCAGGTTAACCCTCGTGTGTCCCTCATCTCTCCACAGAAGCCTTCCTGCCCTGCTGCCTGCCCCAGCCACCCCAGCCCAGCCCCTCCCACTCTGTGTGGAAATGCTCTGTTGATTGGTCTGCATCTCTCACCAGACATTTGCAACTGTGTTTCTTTGTGCTTCCCGAGCCTGGCACAAAGCCTGGGCCAGCCAAGAGCTCAATGCTGTCTCCCTGGCTCACAGCAGGCTGCTCTGGCAGTGTCTAAGGGAGGAGGAGCCCAGGAGACCCAGGAGACCCAAAAGGGAGGCTTCGGTTCCTTTACAGAGCAGGAGCTGGCATGAAGTCTGAGATTCGCTGATAGTTACCTTCACTCACAGGCATGAGAATATTAGAACGTTTTTGAAGTTATAGTGAAATATGCACAATCTAAACTTTAACACTTTAGGGGCTAGAGAGATGGCTCAGCAGTTAAGAACATGGCATGTCCTTCCACGGACCCCTGTCCGGTTCCCAGGACCAACATGGCAGCTCCCAGCCGCCTGTAACTCCAGCTCCAGGGGATCTGACACCCTCTCCCGGCCTCCTTATATACAGGGCACGCATCTGGTGCACAAACATACGTGCAAGCAAAACACCCATACACATACATTAAATTTAAAAATAAAGTCCGACATTTTAGCCATTTTTAAGCATACACTTCTGTGGCACTGAGAATATTCAGACGCTGCCCTATGACCAACAGCATCCAACTCCAGAATTTATTCTTCAACCCAATCAGAAGCTCCACAGCTATCAAACAATACCCCTTTTCCCTGCCCAGGCGATGGCAACCGCAGCAGAAACTTCTGTTTCTCCCAGCGTCGTTACTCCAGGTACTCTATATAGTGAGGTCATACAACATTTATT